CTCCAAGCATCAATAAACCTAATGACTCTACAGCAAGACAAGCACATTTCAAACATATTATTTTATGTTCTGTACCTTTAACTTTTACGAACAGATTCTTAAAGCAGTTTTCTATCTTAGCCTTTTTAACTTAAATTTTGAGTCGCCAGACAGTATAGTGGTTAGGGAAGCCAATTGTGATGCCAAAGGGCCTGGGTTCGAATCTCGGAGAAGGCAGGGTTGTATTGTCTGTTCCCTCATAGGAGGCAAGGGTGACCCACCTATTAGGTGCCTCCATAATAAACTGGCCAACGTCTGTGGACTGTTTGAGCTCGCCATTTGTGGGGGGATTAGAATGGTTATTATTATTTAAATTAATCGGGGTTTTATGATCTGTATCTTTCTTCTTGGCTTCTTTTTTGCTCACCAGAATACAAATAAGTTAGTTCCTGTCAGTTTTGATAATTGTAATTATTCGGCTTTGCATTATATCGAAGTTCCTTAAATTGAGTTTCGAAGTGAGATGTACTGATTCTAAGGAGTGAGGATAAATGTTCATCTGTCAGTCTACTTCTGAAATTCTTTCTAAGGTTCATAGCTGAAGACACTTGTTCACATATATAAGATGAAGCAAAGATAGCACTGATTTTCTGAGCGTGAGATATTAAATTTGGGAAACTTACTTTTGATAATGATTTATAAAACTCTAACTTTGGCATATTTAGAAAAAACTGCTTGTGATGATTGTTAGATTTCAACTCAATTAATTCAAGCTGCAAATATGACCTCAGTGCTTTACAATTTATGTTGAAAGGCAAGGTAAAATTATCCAATTCTGTTTGCATGGCACTGAAATCTTGAAATCTTCATTCGAACTCAAAATGCAGTTTTTTCCGTAGTTTGCCCATCCCTTTTCTAGACGAAAGGAAAAGTCATTTTATTTTCATAATTCTTAAGCTTCTCTTCATTTACTGAGGGTATTGAATTTAACTTCGAGAAATGAGACAAGCCGTTCTTAGCTAGCTACCCAGCAAACAAATTAAATTTTCTTATTAAGTTTTAAGTTAAGATAATTAAGATTAATTTTTTTCTAAGAGGTCTAATTCTCCTATATTGTATTCCCATATGTCTGCTCCCCGAGAAAGAGATAGCGCTTATTGATGCCAATTTAAAGCTATAACTAACAAAGAACTTCCACTTTTAACACTTTGAAATTGAAAGCTGTCTGTGCTTGCTATTTCCGTCAATTTATGTTTTTAGAACAAAAATAGAGAAAGTAAAAAGATCATCAGCCCTTTGAAAAAAAAGGAAGAAAAAAATAATATTTAAACAAAGTAGAAATTAAGATGGTATATAATATATAAATACATATTTCTTTTAATTTGTCTCAGACCGGCAAATTCAAATTCTATCCACGGGCCGGATAGAGCCCTCTGGCGTGCCGAACTTGGCCCGCGGGCCGTAGTTTGCACATCCCTTTTCTAGACGAAAGAATAGTCATTTTATTTTATTAAAATTACAAAAGTGTATATTCAATTATTCCCCCTTTTGCATTACTCCCGGCACTTTTTCCCCCCTAACTACTTCTGACAATTATTCCATTTTTCACTTTTCCATTTCATTCCCGTCTAGACGATACAGATGCGCAGACATGCCGGATGCATCAAAAACGCCGTTATATGTCACGAAAAGCAAAGGGTTTAAGCTGCCAAAATTTTACTATGCTGTTCGTAATTTTCTCCCTCTTTCTTTCCATGAATTAGAATAAATTGGACGTTGAGCATAGTTCATTGACCTGTATGTAAATTTATCTAAATGGATGTTTTGCCCAAAGAAGAAAAATGTCCTAAAAGTCAAATTATTTTTTGACAGCACGCATTTCAAGATTGTTTCATTATCTTCAGGCAAATATGTGAATAACTGTTTCCTGACTCATTTCGCGACATTTTGTATCAAAACACGCAAACTCTTCTCTCTCCAAAACACTTTATTTAATTATAATATATTTATTTTAATATGTACGTTATTTCCAATATTTTGTTTCTCATTACTATATTTTTAGAAAATATAAATTTGTTTAATAAGAAATAAATGTAGCGCTTGGTTAATATATAAATGTTTCAAAAACCGAGGATTGCTAGCTAGCATCTCAAGCGAGCTCGCTAGAGGTAAAAGCAAAATTTTCTCCTGTTAACATGTGTACTGAAAATTCATTTTAAATTTCTTGCACACTTTTAGTTCTATAAAAGAATTATTAAATAAACTGAAATTCAAACGTTAAAAAAAATCAATAACTGGCAAGCTCTGTGACACTTTAATAGGATCTTACCACATCACCGGCAGACCGAAAGTAGAATCCATTGCTGTCCTTTAATGACCATATGAGGAGAACCTAGTATCCTTGAGATTTAATTAAATCCTCACAGTATCTCTATACGCTTCATGGGACCTTACAAGGATGTTCTAAAGATATACTTGGATACGACATGAAACTTTCGGGAAGATGAGTTTAAAAAGTAAGAGGATATTTTAGGATGTTTTGAGCGCTGAGGCAGTGAGCAGCATCATCAAGTTATTCTCAAGAAATTTTTGAGTCATTTAGGAAATGTGTTATGTAGGAACTATGTATGAGTTCTATGAGTTCTACTTGCTTATATCTTAGCCCAGTCTGAATCGTGAATTTGAAATCAAATTAATAATAAAATAAATTGAATTGTGTGACATTATATGATTATGAAAAAAAATCTTTAACTATCCATTGCTTGCACCCGTATCCAGACAAAAATGTTCGCGCAATATGTGAGATACTTCAGCTTTTATTGACGATATCAAAAACTTCTATCGTCTATCGTGTTATGCTATAGAAGCTAAATAAATATTGCATTCAATAAGTATTTTCAGTGAAATGAGTATTTTGCTAAAACTGCAAGCTAAAAGTAACTGTATGTACATTTAACAAAATACTTATTTTAAAACTTATAAAAATGAAAAGAGGAATAAAGAATGAGTGCATTTCTCAGATATAGATAAGCAATAAAATATGAAAACTTCCAATGCTTATTTTCATACTTTTTTAATCTGTTTTCGGAATTGTAATTATTTAGAATTTGAATTCTTGAAAATAGATTTATAAGCAAACAAAATGTTTTTCAAAATAGTCTGAATTTTTTAAAATAAATATTAGCAATTAATAAGGAGGCGGGGGGGGGGGAATCTAAAAATAACTGCCAAAAATATAAAGGTATGCAAGGAAGATAGAAATAAGTAGATTTTTCAATAGAATTTGTATACAGAAATGACATGTTGAGGTAAGCAGTAGACGAAAGCATTTTGCTGGGGTAATCCTAATTTCCTGTTTGGTTTTTTAGCTGCCTGCTTTGTTATATGAACGTGGAGCTTGCCGACATGCATTTTATCTTCGAAACTGTAAAGGGAAACTGAGCAGCTGCTCAAATGAAAAGGTGCTTTAAAATTGTTCTTTTATACCTCCTTTGAGTGGCTACTCTATTTTAGCCGTAGCCCCATAGATAAAATGCATGTCGGCCAGCAGCGCATTCGCTCAAAAATTTGCATTGGAAATGACGATTTGCGTCAAGAAGAGTGTTTATACCTACCGCTCAACAGCGCCCAATACCCACCTCCATGGGCTATTTCCGCACACCCAATTGCATTACAGAATCTATTTATTTCGGTCTTCTCTACCTGCCTTCCCATTTTCACATATATCACAGTTTAGTTTAATTTAGTGACGGAGGACGCGAGCACCACCACTCTACCATGGCGGTTAATTAGTATAGCACCGCGTAGTAACTCTAAATCCAATACAATCCACTCAAACACTTCAAAATAAATTTTGATTAATTTCGTGTAATTCACTCCCTTTAAAGGGCCCACCAGCGAACGAGCGGTAAAATCGATGAACACTGGCAATTCTAACTGGGTTCGATTCCAGGGAAACGGCAGGTGCATGGGTTTTTCGTGGTTTTTACCTATGTAATGTGTATACGAGCCAGTTTCCCTTAGAAAGTCTTCCACTTAGGCTGGTAGCCCTAATGTACTTTGCCATAATCAACTAAACCAAACCTAACCATTTCCTTTAAATCTGAACGCAGAACGTTTAAGTCAGGTTATTATTATAATAAAGCACTCAAGGCTTTCTTCCTTAGGGAAGCTGATTTTAGGGAAGATTTTCGAAGAGAAATTTGATCATTTTTATATTATATGTGGAGAGAACAATGCAATCAGCTTGTGCACAAAACCTGAAACGGGAGGAGGACTGTTGTTGTTGCTTATGCTATACTCACTTGTCTGACTTATGGTCAGCCCAAGCCCGCGAATTCCTCGTGGCAAGGAGCGCAAGAATACGCCTGCCGTTGGCAACAGCCTTGAGCACCTACCAGGTGACAATGCGATTTGGCTCAGTTTTGCTCCCAATTTTGACGGAGAGCAGCCGGGGAGGAAAGGTCAGAGGGTCTCCCATCCCTCTTCCTTTGCACCAAACCACACGAGAGAACTTTCGGCTCGCCCCATATTTAGAGTGCCCGCATGCCGCACCGACACTATACATTTACAAGCATCCATGCCTTCTCCGGGATTCGAACCTGGGCCTTTCGGCACGGCAATCAGCGACGCTAACCACTGTACCGGTTGGGCGCAAGGTGGGACTACTAGTGTTCAATAATTTTATTTACGTGACCATTAGTTGTTTCTCCGGAACGGTTAAGATCTCTCATCAGGAATAAATTTGCATGTGCAAAAAATGCATATATTCTATGTATCTGTATTTTGCACAATATTCTAACTAATAGTCCTAAAAATTCTTACCTTTCACTAAAAATGTGTCTTAGTAATCCATTGGATGTTTATTTTTGTATTTCCTTAAATATTTCACATTTTCAAATGTACTCATGGTCAAGTAATTTTGAGGAACGTTCTTTAAATTCTAAAAATAAACCATTTTGTACTAGTATAAAAAATTAATGCAGAAATATATTGCATAACTAAGATTTTTTTTTTTCCAGGTTTTATAACTTTCATCAATTGCTACAGCGTGAAAATGGCTACCATGATGAACAATGTCTTCACTGTTGCCAAATTACTTGCAATAGCTATAGTAGTTTTAGTCGGAATGTATAGGTTAATGCTTGGTGAGATACTTTCTTTCATCAAAGCAGTAGAATTTTGCACTTTTTATGTATGTGTTTCACACTGTAATATGTAGCATGAAGTCCTATGATTTCTTTAACTGTGTTGCATTTTTCAGGCCACTATGAACATCTGAATACTGGTTTTGAAGGCACAACAACGTCATTCTCTGATTTGGCAACTGCATTCTATTTTGGTCTCTGGGCTTATGATGGATGGTATATATATATATATATATATATATATATATATAAATATTTTTTAAATATTACTTCTTTTCGTATCAAGGATCAACTTATTCAACATTTTTTTTATGTTGCGTCTTTCATTTCAGGAACAATTTAAATTTCGTTACGGAAGAGCTAATTAATCCTCCTGTGTAAGTAATTTGTATAACTTAATTTTATTAAGATACTTATATATTTTATTGACTTTTAAATACACTGAAGTGCCACAGAAATAGATATGGCTATGAAAACTGTGCACCGCTGCGTCCCATTTATACTGACATGACGGCGCTGTGTAATTTGCATATATAGCTAGTACTGTGGTTGTCGTTAATCAATCATTTCAATTGCCACTATGGATAAAACTTCTGATTTAGACTCCTTTGATCGCGCACAAATAGTAGGCGCTCGATGCATGGATCATTCAATTTCGACAATGTCGAGAATACGAAGAATACCAAGAATAGGCGGATGGTAGGGTTAAAAACTAACGATTAGGAAAACTGCAAAGAACGATTAGCCTTGAACGAGCGTGTTGGCTCAGCCGTATTATACTTAGCCAGCGAAGCCAAACAATTTCACAAATTAACCACCCAACTGAACCAGGACGTCATTCGTACAGTCAGTAAACGGACTGTGCAACTCTCGCTTGACAATATGGGCTTCGGAAGCCATAGACCCACGAGAGTACCGTTGCTCAATGTACGCCATCGGGCTTCACGTATTGTCTGGACAAGTGAACACAAAGAATGGACTCTAGAGGACTGGAAACGAATAGCATGGAGTGATGAGTCTCAGTTCTGACTACGTAATGGCAACAGGACGCTAAGAATATAGCGTCAGACTCATAAAGCCATAGATCCTGCATGCTAGGTTGGAACTGTAGAAGCTTAATCATGATCTGTGGTGCTTTCCATTAGCAGTGTTTGGGATCTTTGGTACTTGTAAACAAGCTCCCTCAAAGCGATTCGGTACATAGAGTTACTGGATGATCACTTCCATCCATTTATGTTTTCTTGTCATTCACGCAGAAATGGAGTATGCCAGGAAGCACCTCTCACAAGTCCTGGTTAGCTACTGCCTGTGAAATGAGCATTCCTCTGAATTCTCTGCTATGGAACTGGCCACTTAGAAGCCCTGACTTAACTCCTACTGAGCCCCTTTCGAATGTTTTGGAAAAAAGTGTGAAAGCATATCACTCAATACTAACACCCTTCCTGAATTATGTACAATAATGACCGGTGTTTGACAAGCCATTCCCGTGGAACGCTTTCGCAAACTTTTCGAATCTATGCCTCGACGTGTGGTAACCATTATTAAGGCCAGAAGAGACCCAACTCGTTTTTGACTTTGCTATCCCTAATTTAGTGGCACTTCAGTGTATGAAGACTCTTGTTAATCTAGTAAAGAGGTTTATCTTCGATTGGACATATAGATGATGAACTTACAACTAATGTTTTGTAGCCAGAGACATGCAAAGTAAACCCATTTACTGAGCTAGTGTTTCCGATCTTGTGACATGGCACATTTGGCGAACCAGAGAACTTTGAAAGGTGTGACAAAAATAGTCATATTTTAAATATATATATATATATATATATTATGTTCTTCAGATGTATTGCGATAGTAGCCATTAAGGCTGTACTCCATTATCAAATGCTGCAACACCGCTCAGTTTTCTTTTCCACTTGTCATGGAGTATCAATGGAAGGATTTCAGATAATTAATGTCTACAAAAAGTTTTCGTTTACTTTTTCTGCTGAACCATATATCTTTTAGGCATCAATTTATTCAAACTAAAAGGGATTAAAAACGAAAAATCTAAAAACCCTACTAACATCAATAATAAAACCCTGAGAATTCTTTCTTGGAAACTATCTTTGAAAGTGACCAGTAGTTCTTGGTACAATGTATTCTCGATTAACCGTCCTAATGAGTTGGAAGCAAGTCAAGGACAATTAAAAAACACGGATAATCAAAATTATCAAATTTCATGCATATTATATATGTTAATTTCTTTAAAAAATCAATAATTTTATTTTCTTTTTGACAACGTTTATCTTTGTCGAATTTCACTGAGTATTTTATCATTGTATTCGAATTCCCTTTTCTCCGTTGCTCTTTCGGAGCTCCTTACCGTTTCTCTTTCAGAGCTCCTTTTCGTTTCTCTTTCGGAACTTTTTGCTCAGTTGCTTTTTCGAACAGCATCCGCTGCTCTTTCGGAACTAATTAATTTTGCGTCTTCTGTTCTTGTGACTTTTAAAACGCTATTCACATCACTCAAGCACTGAAAACCCAGTTCAGTCGGAGCTCCATCCAGACAATCCTCGATGTTTTCCCGATCGACATTTTAATATTTTACTTCAGATTATGCCTACCCTTCTTCACAATTAGATAAATATCTAATTTCTGTATTGGGAAGGATCTTTATACTCGGATTTGCCCGAGTTTATTTTTTTATACACTCTCGCGCATATTATTGAGTTTGCTGGCGTGGGCATCTTCACGCATGGATAATCGGCATCCGAATACTCGAGAATACACTGTCCTTAAATAAGCATCAACACGTGCTGTTGTTTCTGTTAGGCACCGTTCCCACAGAATACTAAAATCGTCTGTAATAGTGGGTAATTGTCTTAGGAAAGGTTTATCGTATTTCTCTTTCCTCAGGAGTAAAACAAATACATAGTATAACTAGGCCCACCAGCATCCGAGCGCTGGACAGTGGTATTCAGTCCGACAGTTGGCTGCATGGGCGGCGTTTTCGAGGTTTTCTCCATGTGTAATGTGCATACGAGCCAGTGTCTGTTATTCATGAAGGCATTCCTTCCCTTAAGCATATAGCCCTCGAAGTCTTTGTCATAATTAAATATAGTAAACTACCAAACTTAGCATATCCGATAAGAACAACATTGCCCTGAGGTCACATCCGATGAATGCATTACATTGCTAGATCTGACAAGCTATTCTAAATCAGTATTGGTCTATCAACCATAAGACCATAATTCTTAAAAAATCACGAATTCTTAAAAACATTCCTGGTTCTTATAAAAAAGTATTTGTAATAATAATAAAGAATTTAAATATAACTGTATCACAATACAATGGGTAGTCCTAGCAGTAAGTAAATACGTTATGAATTTAAAGAGGCGGATGATCACATTGCTAAGCTTAACAGAAAGTAGATTGTTTTCGAAAGAGATAAAATAATTTTTGTTTGATGAAATAAAGATAATTTTTGTTTGATGAAGGAAAAATCCCATATTACGTACAGCAATAAAAGCACCTGAGAGTTTGAAATCTGCCTTCATTTCTTCACTTAGCGAAACTGCTTAAGAGACAGTACAGAAAGTGCTTGCAAAAATAAAGTTTGGTACCTCAACAATATGGTTTCTACAAAAGATTTCTACTACTCACAGGCTTGTTAGTTCAATATATCTCGTCTGATCGTAACACAAAGAAATAACTTCTGAAAGTAAATAATTTATTTTTAAAATCAGATTAATTTCCACATATATTAGTTATGCTAATTGCATGCTGACATTTTGTTGATAATACCTCTATGAATGTATTGATGGCTGCACAGAACATCTTGCTCCGTCTGACAACTCTATATTCGTCATATCAAAACTCATAAAGAACTGAAAACAATAAAAAGCCTTAATTTTTAGCTTCAGGGAGAATTCAATTCATACAAACTCGTTAAAATCAACAGTAGTTTTGTAATGATGTTTTTGTATGAGAAAAATCGTTGAAAAAATTAGAAAATTTTTAACGGCGTCAGGGTCGGCGCCCAGTGAACATTCGTCTGCCCATTGAAATCCCTATGAATCCTAATTCTAAAAATTTTGCTATCTCTAAATTTTACTGGATGCTCCTCTAAATTCCAGACATTTTGCCGGCCCTAAAAATCCGCCACTTGGCCCGACTGAACGAGTTTTAAAATACGTTGTATAGGAACTGTGCAAATTTCATCTTCTCTTACAATAAAAATGCTAAAATAATACTTAAATTTATATTATATCCAGTAATTTATTCTTATTTTCTTCCAACAGAAATTTACCGAGAGCTATCATGATAGGAATCCCTTTAGTCACGCTGTGTTACGTCTTGACTAACATTTCATATTTAACAGTGCTATCTCCATCTGAATTACTTTCATCGGAAGCTGTCGCCGTGGTAAGTCAATTTATGCTATCCTTATAAAAACATGTATTGTTAAAGTGAACCATTGTTGTTAAATTATGTAAATATAGTATTATTTTCTTCAAAAATAAGCTGAAAATGTGAATATCTGGTACAAAATAATGATAAATTTATATGGGGCGAAATGTCCAATCTCAGAATTTAGTAAGATTATATCCCCTCTATGTAACTTCTCATGTTTAAAATTATCCGCCACATCGGACGAAGACGCTGGATACCAGTAACAGACAAATTTTATGACGCCAACTGATAAATCCCTTTAAACTCGAGAGCTTCCTTGACTTACGCTTAAACGATTTCCATTCAGGTCTTCCGTCATTACGACTAAATTTTAGAAATAACCCAAAGTACCCATTTCCTTCTGACTTAAAGAATTGGTTTCAGCAATACTAGAAACTCCAAATACTGTCGACACAGCATATGATGTTCATGTTATTATAAAACAACATGGAATCGTCAATACACATTGTTAACAAATATTACTACTACTGGATTTCTGGAATATCAAATAATTTGTATATTCTGCTGACAAAGTGACGAAATATCCGAATATCTTTGTCTTGCCTGATTACGCCCAACTTGATGCAGCATCCCCTGTAAGTAATTTATTTACAAAAAGGCAACGGAAAGTATTCAGTATTCCAATATATGTCTCAGACTAGCATTACAGAAAGGTGTTTATACGTCGTTTTTCTTGCATTATGTTCTTGCATATTCTTCTTCTCTGATTCATCGGCATGATAAGCAAAAATTTAGTTTGCTTTCTCATATATTTTATACATACCGCCCATAATTGAATGTATATTCAGTTCACGCTTCAGTCTACCTAAGTATAGAACTTCGCCCCGACGTCCTTGAAATGCAATCAAAAAAAGACATATGTATGACATCTTTGAAGAATTCACATAGAAAAACAGTCACGAAGAAGTCAAGTCTGGAATTCTTCAAGACCGTAAGACAAGATCGAGTTCAACCCTTAGACCGATTCAAAGATAAAGAACAATAGCATCCGACTAGCATATTGAATTGAAGTAAACACGAACCCATAGTACTTTTTCCCCCTTTCATGTGATGCCTATTTTTCTATTGCAGAAATTAATAATTTAACGAAGGGTTATGAGAAAAAAGTTACGTGATTTGTTTTCGAAGAACTAATTTATCTTCCTTATTTCGTATAAATAAAAAGCTCTTCTGCTCTTCTTTCACTTTCGAAATAATGTTAAGTGATTAGTCGGGTATTGCGTTTTTTTAGCGCAATGATAGAGCAATAAAAGATAGCATTCCTGAAGCCAAAGACCAATTTCCTTGAACTTAGCAATATCCACTTTAATTTTTCTTATAAAGCTGGGCGGTACAGAAGTACAACGCGATATATTGCACTCATCAAAAGTGAAACAGAAACTTCTCCAAAGATTGCCCTAAGCCACAAGGAAATCTCAGAACATATATACATATACAAATATGCAATTTATCAAAAGAACGCTAAAAGGTATGCAAAGTATGAACTTTATATTCAGAATCTAGAATGACCTTGGGTACAGGTAAGGCACATAACCAACGAGGTGGTTAATGATTGTTTGGGTTATTTGTTACAAATCGCATTCGCTGAGCTAAGTTGGTTCTTTAGGATAACTAATGACATTTCCCATGCATGAATCTAAAGAAGCTTAGGAGTATGGAAGGAGCTTGTGCAACCTTTCCTATTTCGCAATGCAACATGCAATCAAACGTCGGATGCTTCTTGTACTACTAGCAGGGCCATAGGATCCACTATTCTCTTCACATAACTTGACAAAGTAAATCAGTAAAGTCAGAGAACTCTATCAGTAAAGTCACCGAACACTTTATTGTATAGTAAAGCGTTCGGTGACTTAACGTAACGCCACTTCAAATCATGACGCCAAGTGTTGGGCCAGTGTGACGTTCGGTGAAAACGACTGACATATAGCTCTCTAATGTATGCTGAAAAACTCGTTCGTTGCTATCATTCTGCAATAAACAGAAGCGGGATTTATTCACGAAAAGTACCATATGCTGTTCAGTAATCTAATTTTCATAATTCTGTTATCACGCCAACTGTGTAGCCCTTTGTCAAGCGATTAATACCACCTTGCTTACTGCTTGGCACGCATTGCCAAGTCGCAATTGCCATGTGGCGTTCAGATGTGTTAAATGCGCCGGGCCCCACAAAACTGGCAATTGTGACGAAAAAAAAACAACCAGTCTATGTGAACTGTCTGGGACCTCACGTAGCATCGTACAGGGGCCAAGTTCCCCACCTACAAAAAACAAATTAAATCAGCCAACATTAAGAATGGATTAGTTTTGCCCAGGCAGTTCGAACTTCTACTAATGCAAGCAAAGCTTCGCCCCCCCCCCCAGAGTCCCTGCTGATGCTGGGCAATCGCATAATGTAGTTAATGGTGTTATTATTGATAATGTACCTGACATTAATATTCCTGAATCACATAGAAATTCTGTGAACAATACCCATAATGAGTCAGACAAAGCTAATCAATATAATAGTAGAAAAAGTAGTGCCAACAACCTTTTTGAACTCCTCAGAGTTATGAAGGAAGTAGAAACAATAATCTTTGGCTGTAATATCAGCCAGGTAATTTATATTTACGAAAGCAAAATTCCTGAACTCAGGAAATGTGACAATTTAATTGACAAAATTCAAATATTGCATATGATACTCTAAGAAATCCACGGGTTAACTCACAGTAATTAATTCACGGACAGAGGTCTTTTAATTACGACATAGAACGCAAATGGTTTACGCCATCAACTTGATGAATTACGCGCATTTATAAATGAGTATTGCCCCGATATTCTTCTCATACAAGAACCCAAGCTCAGTTCACAATTCTCCTTTAGTATTGCAAATCACTCCCTCTATAGATTTGACAGAGTGAGAACGGATAGCGGAAACCCCGGATGATAAGGGGTCTCATCATCCTGATCAAGCGCTCCATTACCCATCACCAAACAACATTGCCACCATCACCAAACAACATCCATTACCCATCACCAAACAACATTGCTCTTAGGCCTTGAGGCCCTATCTATTACAGTCACTACACTCACTTCACATCCACTCACAAATATCTCTGCCTATATTCCCGGAACAAAAAGATCACAAGCAAACATTTAGCAAGATTTTGCTGCGCTGTTCAAACTCAGCAGTAAAACTATAATAGGCGGAGACTTCAACCCACACCACCGTGCAGTTACATCTCTTGCATTGGAACTGTACTTCATCGTTTCTCCCGTGAGGCCGGAATTACTATTGCAGCTTCATAAACTCCAACACGCTACAATGACAGAAACGCCAATGTCTTGGATTTTTTTCCTACTGAAAGGCTGCTCTGTAAGGTATGTCGAAACTCTAGAAGAATTATCCCCTGACCACAACCCGGTCATGATAAGTGTGGAGTGTTCGGTCCGTAGCTCACCACATAAAAAGACCTTTATTACAAATTGGGCGGGATACGCCAAAGCCTTAAACAACACCTCACTATACATTCCCACGGTACAATCGGGTAATGAGTTAGACGCAATTATCACTGCTTTTACCAACGACTTGACTAAAGCCTTAGAGGCCAACGGCACGTCAATTCTCGAAAATAAAAATGCCATCAATCCAGCACTGAAAAAATTAATACAGCGGCGCAACGCCGCCAGAAAAGAATGGCAGAAGCATAGGTTTCCACCTGATAAAACTCTTCTGAATCAATTAAACCACCAAGTCAGGACTCTTACACACTTACACACACAAAACAACTAGACAACTTATCTATCTTCCCTTTCAGCTGAGAGAAGCTCAGTCTGGAAGGCTACCTCAAAATTAAAGAGATGCTGCACCAACATTCCGCCCTTAATCGGCCAACAAGAAATTGCTCACACTGAAGCTGAGTCGTTAGCTGATCACTATGCTTCTCAGTTTCGCACAAACAACATATCCCACCCATCCACAGAACACATGGTCACTCGCATACTAACACAATACCTTACAAACACATGCACATACAACATTCCTCTTCTCAAGCCGTCGGAGGTCTACGGCTACATCGAACAACTAAAAGTCAAGAAAAGTCCAGTACTGGACAAGATATCCAACAAGATGTTAAAGAACATGGGTATCCTCATGCTACTAAAACTAGTCTCCATCATCTGCTTCACCTGAGACACTTCCCAACACCCTGGAAGACGGCTGTAATAACTCCGGTACCAAAACCTGGCAAGCCATCTTCAGATCCGGCGTCGTACAAGCCTATAAGTCTGCTGTCTTCGTTAAGCAAGGTTGTATATAATTCTACAGAGGATACATCATTATCCCGGAACAGTACGGTTCCCGAAAACGCACTCAACGGTGCACCAGCTCTACCGAGTTATTGAATTAATCTCACAAGGGCTACAGAAACGCCAGTTTACAAGTGCCATCCTTTTCAATGTAGCTAAAGCCTTCGACCGTGTTTGGCTTGAAGGCCTCATGTACAAGTGAATCACTCTGGGTTTCCCAGACTACATCACAGCTATCACCCACTCCTACCTAAAGGAAAGACACTTTATCTTTCGTGTAAACCAAAAATACTCTACTCCACGGGCAATCAAGGCTGGCGTCCCGCAATGGAGCCTCCTTGGGCCCATTTACTATAATATCTACATGAACGATATCTCACAATCACCACTCACCACTCTGGCTATGTATGCCGATGATACAACAATTCTATCAAAAAACGCATCTCTCGGCTCAGTTATGCAATCACTCCAAGATCACATACATGCATTAGAGTCCTGACTTACAGCACGGAAGATCAAAATAAATATTGAAAAGTCTGATGCAGTACTATTTACCAGAAGTAGAAATTGCGATCAAAAACTTACGTGTCCTTATGTATGACACACCTTATGTATGACACCGTGGAGTGAGCAGGCCTGTTATCTTGGCGTTACATTAAACAGGTTACTCACATAGTACAGCTTCTTTCTAAGTCCCGGGCACGTAAACTGACACTAACCTCCTTAATTGAACAGAACTCGGTTTTATCTACTGACAATAAAATACTCATTTTTAAGACCCTTTTGCGACCCATCCTCACCTACGCCTGCCCGGTGTGGGGCTATGCATGTAAAACCAAAATTAAAAAGTTGCAAGTTGCACAAAATATTGTACTTCGGCAAGCGGTAAATGGCCCGTGGTTCATTAGGAACTCGGCAATTCACCGTGAGCTCGAAATTCCTGAGATACAGCTCTATATTTCTGAACTTGCAAAGAAATTCTTTGCAAATATTCCAGATGTTAGAAACAGAACAATTCCAGTTCTGAGTTACGACTATGACAGCCACGCAAACAGAAAACGACAGCTTGCGGTCTTAAGGCATCACACTGCCTAAGCTACTGTAACTTGACACCCTTATTTTTTTCTTAATTACTGTTATCCCACTCTGTGGTCCCTTCGCATCACTATTTTCTTTTATCTGCTGAAAATAATTGTATATATCTGTACCATTGTATTATTGTATGTATCTACTGTTAGTATGATTAATTGTATTAGTGTTTTGAGTAAAGGCATATCTTTATAATCCTTCGATAATGTCATATAATTGGTTGTGCGCGCACCTACTCTTCAACTTCGACCTGCAGAGCAGGGGGTGTTTCCTTCGGACTCGTTATGTGTACCCCGCATCAAAGACTTTATTATCCTGTGAATTGTTTCTGCTAATTCATTGACACTTATTAGAACTTCACATGTGTTCGAAAATCGGCAACTTATTACAACGGGCTAGCGATAACACGCGGGAACCCTTTTGCGAACGACTCGAGTTTGCCTGAGCCGAAGAAGAACCAGGACGTCGAACGAGGCATTTCTAGTAGACAGACGAGTACACCAGGAGTAGATAGAATGAGAAGACTAGATTGGTCTCCGCACCGAATTGCACCAGACAGGCACTAGATGCTTCTACATTGCTCCGACTGTGGTGAATGTGGCTGGAAGAACGGAATGTGGCACGTTCCAGGCGGCGGTACTGTTAGAATGACTTCAGCACGCGTGGACCGAAGCACCAGCAGGCATGCAGTGGTGACTGCCTCAAGCCACTTCTGTCGACATTTTACGACAGATGTAGGGAACTCTTGATACTCCCATATCAACCAGGACCATTATTTCTCCACTGAAATGTTTGCCGTTGATATAGAGTCGCTTAGGCTTCGAAGTAGCATGATGTGGTACTTTTCGACTAGTCAACTTTTAAGCTATGATAGTCACCGTCACTATGGCGGCTACGTCCTTACAGGTACAATCTTGATGCTACTGCGGAACGCCACACTGCACGACAACATATCATCATGGTTTTGGAGCGCCATAGCCTACGACCCCAGATCACCACTAGTCCCCCCCTTTTTTTTTGGCAGTTTGATGGCCTAACGAAACATGGATGACGAGCTTCATTCGATAACATTAACCTTCTTTACGGATTGCGGAATGCCATTTACCAGCAGGATAACGCCAGACCGCACATAACGCCTATCAGCCAAAATGCCTTGCAAGATACCTAGGTGCTTCCCTGGTCACCTGTCTCCCCGGATCTCTCACCCATCGAGTATATCGTGGATGTCGCTTGCGTGCGTTGCCACCACAGATTTCAAAAGACGAACTGTGGCAAATGATTAACAGGGCATGGGCATTTGTCTTTCAAGAGACAATCCGCACGCTTTTTGCTTCTGTACCTAGACGTGTTACTGCCTGAATCGCCGCCAGCTTTGGTCCTATACTTGTTGAGCATGCTGTATAGTTGCTCGTTTTTATAAGTGTATCATTTTGTAAGAACTCGCTTATTGCTCGTTGCAGTGTCTCTCCTTTTGTCGATTTTCATCACTTTCTACGCATGTATGAAGGTGCTGCACTTTCACTCTCACATATAGTCTCTTCTGTACATTTAAAAAGTGAAGCAATGTGTATTGTAATTCTATAAAAATATTCAATATTTGTAATTACATATATCATGGATCAAATACATTTTTATCTAATATCAGTCAGATTAAAATTTTAAAAATATTCTTAAGAACTGCATCTATTGCTTTTAAACAGATTAGTTTGTTCATTGCTAATAGACAAATTAAATATAAAAGAATAATATCTTATGTTTTTCCAAACGGCGACAAACATTAATGAATAGTGAAACAATACAAAATCGTGTTTTGAGATTAATAGCCCTCTTGGGCTAAAAAAGGAAGAGAAACTGAAAAACAGTTAAATATCTACTTTACAAAGAAGTTCCACAAAACAGAAGTCTCTTAATTCTTAAGAAGTTTAAAGCATAGGTATAGCAGAGAAATTAACAGACGTTCTTATGTGTAACCTTCTCTGATAACTTACAATTATCACAATTAAGACCTTTGTGGGTTTTCTTGGGAAGCTTGCGTGATTTATTCATATGCAATATAAAATGCAAGTCATACTCACTTAAATACAATTAAGAACTTCCTGAACATGTTCTGTAGAACTTCCGCAGTTGCAAGACTCATTTGGAGATCCAAATCGTTTTAAACAATTCTTAAAATGTCCACTTCAAGGTGAATTTTAAATTAGTTTAAAGTTTTTGAAAATTGATTCATTTTCAGACCTTCAAATTTTAGCAAAAATGTTTTAATGCACTATTCTTTAAGGATGCAAAGTATTCGTTGTCCGAGTTTGGCTTAAAATGTTTGCACAATTATTGATGAAAATAAATAAGTCTCTGACTATATTATAAATTTAATGATATGCTAAATACCATAATGCTGAATGTTTACAGTCTTGTATTCATATTTCCATATTCTAGGGTTTTGCTAACTACATCCTTGGACCTGCAGCTTTCATCATACCAATACTAGTCGCTGCCTCAGCTTATGGAGCATCTAACGGGACTGCCCTCATCGCTTCAAGGTAAATATTGCTTTTTCTGTTTTGTGAAAGATCTGTAAGTCTCACAGAGTTGTGTCTTGGTAAATACTATATCTATCCTCTGAATAAAACATTTAAAAATGAGATCGAATTTTCAAAACTTGAATAATGTACTAGAATAAAATTCAAAAAGTACTTATAAAAAGTCTAATAAAACAATAAATAAATAAACAAACGTCTTTAGAACATCTTATAGTAAAGTGGTTAATTCTTTATCTCTCTGCTTAATAAGATCCTGGGCTAGCTCTCTTACGGTTGTTCTAATGATTCAGAATGAATTTAAAATTCAGAATTTAAGTAATATTTTTTTAGAAAATTCTCCCAGAATTTTTCCGAAGTTTGTATATTTTTCTTCTTGTGTAACCAGTGAAAATAAACTTTCTGTTGTGTGTTGTTATGACTTATCTCAGTTGTCTGACAGTAAGATCAGAAAAAGCACACGAAATTCATCATGGCAAGGAGTGCAAGATTGCGCCTGTCGTTGGCCTTGAACGCCATACAGGTGACCGTACAACTTCGCTCAGTTCTGCCCCCTCCCCAGTTTCAAATAACAGCACCTAGAGAAGACAGTTTCGAGAATCTCCCAACCCTCTTCTCCTACCAATAACATCTCAAGAGGACTTTCAACTTGCCGCATAGTTAGAGTGCTCTGATGCCGCATAGACACTATACGTTTACAAATTCTTCTCCGGGATTCGATCTCGGGCCTTTCGGTACGGCACTCAGCATTGCCAATAATTAACCTGGTTTGGCGGCATAAACTTTATACTTCGTGTTGTTAATTGATAAGTTAGAACAAAATAGGAAGAGGAACTTTATTATCATAAACATTAATTACAGAATGTCAATTAATTATGGTTTTTCAATATAGTGAACCTTAACATGACGACCATTCCACTTTACGACGATTGCTTCTGAAAATGAAGTATTTTGAGTATTTTTGAGAACATAAACAAATATTGGTATTGAACATACTCTAAGATGATCTGTAAATGGTGAAGACCGTCTAGGACAATGAATGGTTGGCTTGGAGAGGGGTCATTGTATTTTAATATCGCATTAATTCGTTTGTAATTCATATAATGCATTATATCTGTTACTTTGTTATCAATTTATACCAGTAAATATTCTGCATTGTAGGTGCTATAATTATTGCTTTATCGATTCTTTCAACATCGGCTTTAACGTTTGCATACACAGAGGAAAATTTTCCCAGAATTCTCCATAGGCTAAATTGGTCTGGTAATACTTCTAAACTAATAAAAACTTTAATTTCTTGCTACGTGTTCTTGCTACTTAAATGGCAATGCTCATGTTGTCCCCCAAAGCACTTGGCTATGCGACGATGAAATTATATCTTTCTGTGTGGCTTCGTATAAGAAACTGATTGTATATTAATATTACCTGTGAAGATAACCAATCCTTTCAGATATCTGTAGTTAAGTCACTGGTGATCTCATTTAAATATTCGAACTGGGAGATTATTTTAATGGGTATGCCATTGACATTTATGCAGGCTTACTATTCAACCCGCTTACATAGCATTTTAATATTCTTCTGGTCTTAGAAGTGGAAATGAAAGGAGCTTGTTGGTTTGTCCTTTACGCAGATGTTTTGAGGCTGTTTAGCATTATTTTCCATTTCTTTACGGTCACAACTCCTGGAAACGGTCAGAAAGTTATCCTCATAGGCTAATATGCCGGTGTTATCAATGGTACTGAATGCGCTTAAAATCGATTTCACCCCCAGTTTTCAGAACTTAGTGTGAACAAAGACAAAAATGTAAACAAGAATCCTGAGGGGTAACTCTTGTTGACTTCTGTCGCGGTGGCATCGCCGTCCATTATGGCTTAAATACATTGATCTGTCAAGCAATTTACACCAGGTTTTAGACTGATTCGAGGCAGGTTAGTGCTTGCATGTTATAATGTGAAATGAAATTAAACCTGCATTACAATTATAGTGAATGCCTGGTGAAACTATTGGTGTAGTATAAAGAAAATGAAAGCTTGTGCTTGTGGTATTTAATAATGAATTTTCAAAACTGTTTTTATGTATTTAAATAGAAAAATTATGCAAATAAAGTACCTGCTGCATTCATAACATCTACATTATACAGATAATTGTTTTTTTAAATAATTCTGTTTTTTTTTTTTTTTTTTTTTTTTTTTCTTTCTTTACCTTTGGGAAATTATGTACTATTTTCATTTGCATATTTAAGGAATGATCGTTTCTTTGCGATCTGAATGTTTGCGAAGTGGTGAATGTTTCTAGAAGATGAAGAAATGTTCTATATTTGTTACAAGCACCTGACTGCAAAGGCTGCCTAATTACTCCAGGCAGTCGTTTTAAAAGGCATTTTTGTTATTGTTGTTGTTAAAAAAAGCAAGTCATTTTTTTAACTCGCTTAATTCGATTAAACCCTAAATATTTTACATAACTGTTTAAATTAAAATATACAATGTCTGATTAAAAATTCAATTTTAAGCTACCTATCAGTTAACAGAGTTTTTGCAACGTGAAATTTAACTTGAAGGTCCCATGAAAGAGAAGAGGAAATTATTTCCCTGTCTGGTAATTTTTATACGATATCATTCATTTAAACAAAAATCTTAAATATTATATGAGAGTATCACCGCCAAAAACGTAAAACAAATTTACGCATACACAAGCGAAAAAAATCGTAGGTTTACATTTAGACGAGAAAGTAGTTGAAGGCTTTTTTTCTCTGCGGAAAGTGTTAAAATGGTTAGGAGGATTCCCGATTATCCACGATCTTCCTCTTTAGTATAGTCATAGAAACACGTAACCCAAAGCCTTCACATCCGATAGCGAAAACAACTTGTTTGCGTTGTGACTGACTGGCGTATTTGCAGTTAAAAATATATCCAGAATTTTTTTTTTTTTTTAAGCTGAAGAGGTCTGAGTTAAAAAGCTGAAGAGTTCGGAGTTAAAAAGCTGAAGAGGTCTCAGTTTTTAAAGCTGAAGAGCTGATTATAATAATGGATTACAGTATAGTAATATAATTCAAGATCACCTATCGACAATATCAATTATGCTTTTCTGTAAGCCTCACAGTTACTTTAGAAATGTACCTTCACGGTGATTTTTCTATTCTAGCTTGACTCTTAAGAATGGTAAAGATGGCTGCATACAGATGGTCGAATTCCCTAATTGTTATATATTAGTATAGCTAGAGTCTGGCCACCCCTGAGTTTGGCCGCCCGCGTACTTTTACGCGCAGCACCTCCTATAGGAACGGCCCTGAAAAATTGTCGGTAGGTTGGAGGCATACGAATCACAAGCGCAGGTGATTACAGAGCTCAATATAAAGCCCAGTGTCATCTGGAGTTTGTGGAAACAGTTTCAGAGCTCTGGATCCATATACAAGGTGACTTTTTTTTTTTTTTTTTTTTTTTTTTTTTTTTTTTACAAATTAAGAGAGGTAATAGTATCCACCCAGACGAGAAATAATTACCAAAAAACATAGGATCGCATTCCACTCTGAGAGGCAGAAAAGAGCAATATTTGAATTCCAACCTGAACTTACAGCAGTGTTGGGGAAGCTATGAACGAGACCAAACGTTGCGCAATCAGATTTATTGTTTAGTAAAGGAACAATTAGTGCACCCTGTCGAAGATTCCTAGCGTCGTGTTAATTTTGTCCGCGACAATAACGATTCTCGCCACGAGATCTTTAGATGAGTCCATAGGCGTCTCGTACACTAAAGATTTCATGTGCCCCCAGAAGAAAAAGTTCAGTGGGTTGAACTCGGGTGAGCGAGACGGTCAGGCCACAGTTCTGCCACGTCCGATCCATCCTGCGGGATATGTGGCATTCATAATGTTACGAACCATGACGGGAAAATGTGCTGTGGCTCCATCGTGCATAAACCACATGTCTCTCCTGATGGGGAGCGGAACAGCCTGCAATAAACTGGGAAGTGCTTGTTCCAAGAAGGTAACGGTATGTTGCGGCGGTTAAACGGTCTAGCATGATTTTAAGGGCCTAACAGGTAGACACCTAGGATACCTGCCCAGAGGTTTCTTCTGGTGTTTATGAGGGGTAGTGCAGTGGGAATTGCTATCAGACCAAACGTGTTAATTCTGCACGTTGAAAATGCCTTCTCTGCTGAATGTTGCCTCATGACTAGATGATATTAATGCAGGAAATCGTGGATCGTTAGTCCTCATTCTATAAGCATCCATTGCACAAAGTCTGTCCGGCAGGGATAATCATCTGTTCACCTGTGTCCAACGATTGCACTTTTTGCACGTGGTAGGGGTGCATACTCTCCTCGTAAAAAATACATCATGCCACTGGTTGAGAGTATGTGCCACCGTATGTGAGGTGAATATCTACCAGTTCCTCGTACGTGCACTCCACCATAGCATTAACGAAAAGGTTCGGACTATGTTATCAAGGTAATACTTGAAGCGATGATGTTGTGCCGCTTTCAGGGACACCGGGTTTGCTTTGATTGGCTTTCTCCGGTACCAACTAGAGCAGATGCTGCTTCTTATCAGTAAAAATTTACATACGGTTGATTCTTGATATTCTTAGTCTCCTTGTTCTTCCTCGATGTGTTTCTACTTTCCTCTTTTATGCCTCCCTGAGTGGAATGCTACTCTATGTTTTATGGTAATTATTGCTCGTCTGAATGGGTACTATAACTCCTCTTAATTTGTAAAAACAATTTAGAATCACCCTGTATACAGGAGCTCAACAAGGTCGACCAAGATCCACAACGACCAAGATTTGGCACTTTCATCGCGGCGACACAGAACTGCTACTGCTTCATAGTTCTCACGTGAGCTTAATGTTGCCACTGGAACCCAAATTTCATGATTCACAGTTGTCTGATTTGGTTTACAATTTTTGGTGACCATTTTCTGAAAGAGTTCCAAGTCCAATCCTGTGGCATGTTAACAAATCCTTGCCTACTACGTCCAGACGAAGGTGAAAATCTAACTGAAGAGCAGCGAAAACGATTGAATGCTTTATTAGAAAAATACGAAACTACGTTCTCTCCAGGGGGAGAACAAACTCCTTAAATCGAGCACAGAATTGATACAGGTGACTCCCCTCCAGTGGCTACAACCTCTTACAGACTATCTCCAGCAAGAAAGGAGATTTTGAAGAAAGAAATCTATGCACTTCTTGCATCAGGCATAATCGAAGAAGTGTGAATTCAACCATATGCAGCACCCGTTCTTTTAGTTCCCAAGTCGAACAGGTGACTTTCCGATTATGTATTGACAACAGGAAACTGAATTCTGTGAATAAGTCTGATCCATGCCGGCTGCGTAGGATGGATGAATTTCTTCATACTGAAAAGCAAATCAGATACATGTCTACCATAGACTTAAAATCAGGGTATCACCAAGTTAAGATGTACCCTTCAGACAAAGACAAAACTGCCTTTATGTATCAGTTTAGAGTTTATAGATTCACCAGGATGTCTTTTGAACTGAAGATGGTACCAGCCACCTTCCAAAGGTTAATGGATATTTTCCGGAATGGATTACAGGTCAACACTCTTACTTATCGTGATGTCTTTATTATTGTGATGTCTTCTACTTTTGAGAAGCATCTCGAAGACTTGCGTTTAGTGTCTGATCGACTTTTAAAATTCAAGCTTCGTACCACTCGAAATAAATGTCATTTTGCTTGTTCTAAAGTGAAATATCTCGAACATTAAATCACAAGTTCTGCAATTGAAGTAGACTCTGCCAAAGTAAAAGTAATTCAACAAATTCCTTCACCAAAGAATGTGAAGCAAGTACAGAGTGTCCCTCAGACTTACAGCTGGTATAGATGCTACATTCCTAACTTTGAAGAGATCTCAAGACCATTGAGTAATCTCACGAAGAAGCACTCCACTTGGGAATGGTGACCAAGAGAGAACATTTCTAAGAATGCTGCGCAAAAGAACCAACAAGATACTTCTTTCTCTGGCTACTTACCGAGACGTCTTCGTAGCCAGGGGGGAGACTGTAACAAATGAATATCGTCGGCAACGCGCTGTACCGATGATATAGAGAAAATACTCAGTTCAACGCCCGCGAGCTGCAGAAGCGAGATGTGATTGTTTGAACTCACGCTTTGAACATTTAAAATCTATTTAAAATGTAATTCTACTTTTAAGTTTTGATCGTTTTCCTGTATGTTGTTGTTAAGTATTAATAAAACGTCATTTAAAATTGTCTCCTAATTAATTGATGATTGATTCTTTTAAGCATTAATACTACAGTTTCAAAATCTTCAGTTATATCTATACTATAATTATTTGCAGGAAAGGCTGAAGGTTTACAAGTATGGAATAAATAATATAATCTCTCAGTGATCCTTGCTATTGCTTATCCTTTGCCAACTTTCAGTATTCTATAGTTATTGTATCACCAAAAAAAAAAAAAAAAAAAAAAAAAAAAAAAAGAGCCGAGAGATTTCTCAAAACTTTCTGCTGTTCCAATAGAATATTATTCACACAGAAGCTGTTCGCACATTTTTTAGACGATTTTGCTTTGCTGTAAAGAAAACATTTCTGTTTAATATTTTTTTTTTTTTTTCATGCAACTATATTTTTGAAAGTACAAATTATCGTCTGCTATTTGACAGCTCTGTTTTCATACAAAATGTAGCTTTTAAAGAAGCAGTGGATGGAAGGCTATGTTTGAATTCTTTCCGAAGAAATTTATTCGTATCCAGTTATTAAAGAACGTTGTGAAAGGCCATGGTTTTTCGATATCTAAAGCTACGATAGGTAATGCTGTCAACAACAAAGGAAACAAACGACACAGTTTGGCTTCAAGTGGAAAAATTGTCCCTTATACGTAACCAAGGAAAAAACGGAATGTTCTTCAAAGTAAGATCTTTAATGTTAAAAGGAAATCGGGCAATTTGAAGGTTAATTGTTAAATCATTAAAATGCTTAGTGTCAACTGTAAGAAAAGTGAATAATGCTAATTTGAATCTTATAAAGGCAAAAATAATAATAATAATAATAATAATAATAATAATAATAATAATAATAATGTGCAGCGTTTTTATCCACGACATAGCGCCGAACGGAGAACGCGCTACAGAACTCCTTATAAGAAACATTTATCCGGATAAAAATAGTAAAATATTTTCACAATAGACGAATATTGGGTGTACTTAGATGACTTAATAAAAAGAGATCCATTTGTTGTTATCAAAGAGGAAAAAAAAGTCTTAAAACATGATTCAAAGAATCTGAAAAAAGTTTTCCTAAGTGATTTATGATTGTTGCTGGTTTCTCATATAACGGCAAATTAATCATAAAGAGAGTGAAGAAAAATGCTAAGATCAATTCCACGTATTATCAAAAACATATTTTATACTCAATTTTCAAATATGAAATACCTTCTCTTTACACACAGTGTGATCAATCAGTAGAACTGCATCAAGACAAAGCAAGCAGCGGCACGTCAAAATCGACTGTTAATTTCTTGGCAAAAAAGAAATAAGAGGCAGGTATCAAAGCTATACCCTTCACTCATATCCCTACTAAATCTCCTGATGTATCACCAATACTTTTTTTTTTTTTTTTCGCTTCTGGACTTTTAAAAAGCGGATTATTCAAACGTCGACTTTCAGCGTCCTTAGACTTTCTCCTCAGGAAAGCTATTCGAGAGCAATGAGGTAAAATACCTCTACCAATCATACAAAAGTCTTTATTGTCTTGGAAATTACGGTGTATAAAGATAGTGAATTATAAGGGTTATCAAATAGAACATTTAAATCATAAAAATTTAGGTAAAATATTTCTGTAATTATAACGAAAATCGTCTAAACAATGTGCGAACAGCCTTAGAATGTCATCATCAATTAGATATTGTCATAAGCAGAAATAAATTCCGAAAAAGCATCACTTAAAAAATGGCGATTCATTTTACTTTTCCTCTTTTCAGACTTCCATTTGTAGCTGCACGACAAGGCCATTCTGCCGAATTAATGTCTTACGTTCAAGTTCAACGACTAACGCCCGCACCTGCATTGCTATTCAATGTAAGTACATCTAGATTAGTTGAATAACGTTAATGATATTCATTTATTCATAGAAGGCATTATTATTGTTATAGAAGTTTCGCAATACTTGGAGAGAGTGTGGCGTTGCGTAAAGCTTAAAATTATCAGCTTTTAGTCAGAAATTCTGGATAATTTAATTCCACGGTACTGGCTAAATAATTTCTCAGCAGAAAACATAAATGTTTTTTATTTTCAGAAAACGAAAACGTGTTGTAAATTTCTAAATTTAAGTTTCTAAAATAAATTTCTAATTTCTGTTTCTTGAGAGATTAATTTGTTAAGAGGGAAACTGGTAGATTAAATAACAAATATTCGGCAGTATCGACCAAAAAGCTCTTCACTTACAAGAGATTAGTAATATTTTTTTAGAATGCTTCTGGCGCTATTTTCTTAATTTTTATTCCGTTCTTATTGCTTTACTTGGCTCTGCTTGTCTATACCATGAGTTTGAATGTTTACCTGATGCATTAATTTGTATGTATTTAAATGTCAGTGCAACTTCAGACTCAGATGTAAGTATTATTTGACAGCATCAGATATCTGTTTTAGGAAGATTTTATTGTTATCAACAAGGTATTTAGCACTTATTCAATTTCTATTTTCTTGTACGAAGTACTGTAATCGCGAAAAAATTTTTGTATCATATTCCAACAGAAATATTCATTTTGACCATTCCCGAGCCGATTTGGACGGTATTTTTTTGCTTGACGTCTGTATGTACGGATAAGAATAAAGGACTATTTTTTCAAAAAAAAAAAAAAAAAAAAAAAATTGTAAAATGGATTTAAAAGGGATTTTTTTCGTGACGTCCTATCTATCTCTCATAACTCAAAAATGCTTAGCCGTAGAATATTGAGACTTTTGTATATGGGACTGCTATAACATCTAGGTATGCAATCCCTTTTTTATTGCAATCGACAGATCAATATTTATTGCAATCGACAGACCCACCCCTTCCATCCTAAAAGTCCTCACTCGGTCTTTATTATCATTGGTTGTAGTCATATACTTCCAGTTAGAGAAGCGTTTTAAATGACGAAAATATTCATGTTTTAGTAATTCCAAATTTTTAAAAAATTTTATTTTTGGCAAATAACGAAATCTAACTAATGCGGTCTCCCATTTCCTATACTTCTATTTGAGAACGTTTTATTCCCGTTATGAAAAAATAAAATTTTTACCCATTATGGAAAAATAAAAGTTTGACCCATCATGGAAAGTACCCATTAATGAAAAATAAGTTTGACTCCCGTACGACAAAAATCGACCGGAATATTTAGTTTCAGAATTTCCAGTTTTTGATGCCAACTTGCCTTGAGAGATTAATTAAGTTAGAATAATTCGAGAAACTAAGTTTAAATGAAGTGAAGCAAAAAATGGGTGTAATTTAATAGGACGTACAAAGAAGTCATCTGGTGCCCACATCAGATTTTTTTTTTTTTTTTTTTAATTAGTTTTGGCACTTTCGGTTGACCTCTCGGGAGTGTTCTAACTTTTAGATTTCTTGTTATCTTTAGAACATGTTAGATTTCTTCTCCTTCTTATGATAGTCTTCGAAAGAATTTCTAGGTCAATTACATATTACTTATTTGACAAAAAATCACAAAAGCGAAAGACGTTAAAAATGTTATTAATAAGTTATTGACTTAATAATGTAAAACATTATTCACGTATTAATTATTAAAAAGAAAAATTTGTTGTTTTCTGTATTAACAACCAAACCAGATAAACAAAGTGCTAATTTCAACGCTGGATTAAGAGGTGGGTTTATTTATGAGGAACTATTCTGATCACTAGCTTACACTGAAGAATGAAATTCAGTGCCTCAGAAATTTTATTTGGCTAAACTATAATGCTTATGGTATAGGTTTTTTTACATCATTTTCCCCAGTTTACGAATTTTCTGTTTGAAACAACGTATAAAATAAATGGCATTTTTTTTCTAAAACTGTTTACTAGGAAGAACTGCCGAAGCTCTGTGTCCAGTTTCAGAGTCCTATTGTCTTATAATACCTTTGCTTGGCCTTGATTACCTTGAAAGGAGCCACATAAACAACTGAAGGACAAAAAAATCGCATTATCTAGACGTAAATTAAAACTCGCATATATCTGTGTTTAAATTTCCATTTCTGTTGTATCAAAAGATTACAAAGTAACGACTTCAGTACAGTACACTCCCGATTATCCGCGAAATTGGGTGGCGCGGCCGCCGCGGATAATCCGGAAAAAGCTAAAAACGGGTATAGCAAAAAAGAAAAGTCATTCCAACTTTTAAAAACCGTTTTATGTACAATAAAACGTAAAATAAACAGCAGGAAATGTTTAACTAACGCTTAATATTTTAGTATATCACTCAAAACTAACCTAAAATGCATTTTGTTAGTGAAAACAGAAAAGTGCTTTGTATACTTACGAGAGGTGTCAAGGATACACAGAAAAATTATTACATATATACTGTTTTAATACTGTAATGTATTATGTAATTACAAAAGCATAACTGTAAAACTACACCTTTTTGAAAAAATCAGTCATTTGAGTTTGCTTCTTGCTTTGGAAGCATTTTTTCTTGAACCGAGATTGCATTTTTCGTAGCATAAGTTTATCGGCCAACTCCGCATCGTCTTGTTCTTCCAAAAAGCTCAGCAGTCCGTCAGCAAAGCCGCTTCGTGAGTCTTCCGCATCTGCATAATAGGCTCTTCTTCGCCTTCACTTCGCTGTCCTTCATTCTCGGTCTCTCCCGTTGCTTTCTTCACAATTTTGTCATCTGTAAAGCTTTCGAATCCAGGTTCGTTGACGTCACACTCCAACCACTCGTTAATGTTTTCAGCATCTACGTTCTCACCACCCGGAACTGTTTTCACCATATCGGCAAGAGTTGCCGTGGGCGTGTCTACATCTTCATTCTCTTCTTCACAACTCAAAGGGATTAGGTTGTTGTCGGCTTCAACATTAGGCATCAGTTTTCTCCATGATTTTATGAGGGTTGACGGTTTCACCGAGTCCCATGCAGATGCAATATCGTAGATACTGTCCAAGATTGTATAGTGTTTCCAAAACTCTTTCAGATCATAACCATCTTCAATTCTGGTCATTAGCAGCCAGGTTCGGTATGTTCTCTTCATTGTTGCAATGACTCCTTGGTCCATGGGTTGGATTAGCGCAGTAACGTTTGGGGGGGAGGAGAAATTTCTAAAAACATTTGTCTATCAGAAGACTTTAGCACGCTTGTCGCTGGGTGAGAAAGTGCGTTGTCGATCAATAGCACAGCTTTTTCAGGGAGGGTTTTCGATTTAACCTTTTGAAGCCGGGGCTTTGGTAGCAGTAAAAGTTACCAAAGGATGGGGAATCTTGAACCGAATGCTTTCCCCCTTTTAAGAAATTACCTCCTATTTGCAACAAAGATTCTTGTGTGTAGTTTAATGGATTCTCAGAGGGGTGCATCTATGTCGCAAAAGGAAGACCTTTGAAAGAGATAAGTGGTTAAAACCCTAGGGACGTCAAATTTGACATTTCACCCCACTTTCCAGCCTGGAAAATGGGGGAAAAAGACATGGCCACTAAAGTGGACAATCCCGTCTTTTCAAAGAGAGAACTGTATGGCCACTATAATGGCCATCCCGTCTTCAAAAGGTTAAGATGTTTACGCACTTGAAGAACAAAGATTTTTTCGAACCATTCTTGAAAAATGTTTCGGTTCATCCATCTTTTTTTTTTTTTTTTTTTTTTTGTTGTTGTTGTTGTTGTTGTTGTTGTTGTTGTTGTTAAAGCAATCAACGGGCAAATTTTCTATCCTTCTGTCTTTGAAAGATATCTTTTTTTTTTTTTTTTTTTTTTTTTTTTTTTGAGTTTCCAATGACAAAAAATCTAAGTTTATGTCCACCGGTAACGTTACTGCAAGACATGATAATGAACCTTTCCTTGCTGCTTTTATGACCCGCCGCTTTACTTTCACTTTCAAATGCTAAAGTGCGAGTGGTTTCACCAAAAGGGATCCCGATTCGGCGGCACTGTAAATTTGCTCAAAATGTAGCTCTTTTTTTAAAACAAATTCTTCAACTTCATGGGGGAAATCGTCGACTGCTTTTGGTCGCCACTAAGTTTCTCCTCATGAAGTCCAATTTCTCGAATTCCATGTCGCTGCTTAAAACGAGTCAAATAGCCAGAAGACGTATCAAAATTTCCTTTCAGGCCTAACAACTCAAAAAATATTTTTGCCTTCCCCGCAATGATAGGACCATTTACAGGAGTACCATCTTTTCGAACTTGAGCTAACCACTCTGCCAATGCTGTGTCTATCTCATCAAAGGTAGAACCCTTCATAGTTTTTCGCGTTTTCATTGCAGAAGCACTGTCCGACATTGTCTTTTTGCTTTAGAATGTCACGCACTGTTGTTTCCGCGATTCCGTAATCCAATTCCATCTGCTGCCTTGTAGCTCCGTTTGCTACTTTGGAAATTAATTCTAGTTCTTGCGCAATCGTCAACACAACCTTCTTTCGTTTTCATGACATTTTAAATCGCTAACGAAAAACACAAAATCAAAAAGCACAAGCACCGAACACAATAAAGATAAGAAATTAACTCCGACTGGTTCGCAAATACTATCAGACTTAAACTATGGGAGGAAGTGGACGTGTCAGTAAGATTAAGACGAGAGAGGGCGGTGGAGCGGGCACTGCAAGGGTAAGAAATCGCTTACTCATCAGAGGAGAAGGTTCCGAGAAGGCCTGGGATATTTTTGCCATAAATAAATGTTAGCAAATTTAACGTTTCGCTCAGTTTTGTGAACATTTTTATTTTCTTTGCTTTACGCTTGTTAAAAAAAAAAATAAATAAATAAAAAAATAAAAATAAAAATAAAAAAACTGTGCGGCAGGCGCGGCTAATCGGGAGTCTACTGTACTTAGAGTGAATTGCTGGTGCTGCCTTCTGTTTTCGAGTTTTTGAAGTCAACGTCAAAATTCCAAGAGAAAATTAGTACTTCACCAAAGAAAGCAACTTTTCCTTACTAATTGCCTTTTAGGGTATTTTTTCTGTAGTGATGATGCTGATATTTATTGATATCAGGATAACAAATATGATAACTTATTTCAATAATATACTCTAATGCAAATTTTAAGATTTTATTTATTTATTGAATTTCTCTTAATATATTCATCGTTTTCATGTTTTATTTCTTTCAAATCTTACACTGAAAAATTTTTATGCTTAAAATGGATTTTATTAACTTCTCTGATCTGCAAAGCAAGATTTGTAAAGCAATTCTGGTCCACTACCAATCTGTAAAGCAAGATGCATATCCATACTGAAATTTAAAAAAAAAAAAAAAAAAAGTGTAAACCAAAATGCAATTAAAAAAAAAGAAATTTGGTTGGTGCCCTGAAAATCCATTAGCCAAACAGCCATTTTTAATTTTAAAAAAAATGCAGAGTTTCATAATCATTCATGCATTCCGTCAAGTTACAAAGGATGTTTATGCATTTTTAGAACAATTTCGAAGATGTTTAATTAATATTTAAACAAATCTTAGATCTGATAGTCTTTTTTCTGCACTATAAGTCTGCATCGTGATTTTTATACGAGATTGTCTTTTAGTAAATTTTTTAGGGGTATTGATTTCCATTTTTCTTCCATTACTTAACAAAGTCCATCAATCGTGGTGGGTATGCGCTTAGAAAGAGCTCTTTTCAAGAGACTAGAGGCGCAATAGTCCGTAGGCAAAACGTCAAGGGGCTTCGCAGAAATACGTTGAAAATGTATATATGCAGTCATATGTAATATGATTTGCTGTATGTTGAAACTGTATATATGCAATATTCACTTTTTTTTTTTTTTCAAGGAATGCAACTGTGCTTTTCAAACTATGATTTGTTGCTTTGTCTTGATGAAACTTCGCTCTATGAAAATCATTGAAATAAAGAATTGGTCTGTAAATATCGAACGTAAAATGTTCTCTTGATAGTACATTGAGCTGATTTTAACAAATTTTTTCACTCCTTTTAATATTAAACACCCATCGCAAGAGAATCCTGCCACAATCATAAACCTCTTACTGAAGCTTTCTTTGCATTGACAGAACCAAATCTGCACATTTGTTTCCTCTTCATTTTCAATAATAAATAGACCTTTTTCGTTGCAGTCATTAAGGTAAACCCGCGCTTCCTCTAATGTCACAATATATTTCCGTTTATCTCCTGCTAAATTGTTTTCATACAGAGTTCTAAAAATTGCTCTGCGTTGACTCGCATGCGTGGTGAAAAGCTGGTGAACATTGTTTTTCAGCTTTTTTTAAAATTTTAAATCTTATTTTATTTATTGTTGCTACAGATGTAGTTAAAGACTTTGCAATTGATTTCTACGTCAGCTGATTTTCTTTTGTTACCAACGATTTAATTTTAGAAACAGTATATACTTCTTTCTGGTATTCGTTTGGAGTTATCTTTCCTTATAGAAAGTAGTGATTGATGGTTTTTCTCTTTCCGGAATAATGTTACTTATTTTGCATTTGGAAATTTTAATACCATACATTTCACAACGTTTTAGAATTATGGAAAAGGACTATTTCTCTTCAGAAAGCACAAAATCATATCCTTCAATCCATAGTCTTTTACGTGGGACATTTTGATAGAATAAATTTAAAATATATTGCAATGATATTTCTCATTTCAAATAAAAAGCTCTACCAGAAATTTCCACTCCGAAACATTTGCTTTTTTTTTTTTTTTTTTTTTAATTATTTCTTTATGGAAAATCGTTCTAAAAATGCGTACACACCACCTGTAATTTTTAAAATATCATTTAATTATTGAATTTTATATATTTAAGTCGCTTTATTTTTGAGCGCAGAGTGATATAAATATCTTTATATGTCATTTTAAAAATCAGGCATAAGCAACAATAAAACATTAGCTTCAATTTTAAAAATTAATGCTTTATATTTTATTTTCACCTGATGATGAATTAAGTTTTTTTATTTTATTTAAGGGGCTAATCGTTCTATTGATGATAGCAGCAGGTAACATCGGCAGCCTAATTGACTTTTTCAGCTTTGTAGCGTGGATGTTTTATGGTGGAACGGTGCTCACAGTCATTGTTATGCGATTTACAGAAAAGGACCTGCCGAGGCCGTATAAGGTAAGAATTGCAACACATTGGGAAAATTCAAATTTGAGTTAGAGTATATTCCAGCGTATAACGCGCATTTTCAATACAATAAATAAGACCGAAATTTATGGGCGCGCATTATATGCCGGATATAAAAATTATAGATTTAAAAATAAAGAATGAGCATTAAAAAAAATTATATTTTTACTAGTCTAATTTCTGTACCTAAATGCTGTTTACTTAAAAGAAAATATATAACTTAAAAGTTACATAACTTAAAAAGTTCCTTTATCAGATAATATGAAAAGTTCGTCATCTTCGTCTTCCACATCATCAGGCACATCATCGAATTCTGCTTCATTTTCAACATCGGTGTTTCCCTGATCCATAAATAAATAATAATCATAACCCGTTCCATCCTCCAACCAACACCAAACACCTTTGCTGCAGCGCGATTTCCATTTTCTTTCGCAAAATTCTTACAAATATATTATATTTTCTAATCCCATAATATAAAAAGTAGCCTATACTTCACAAATTTATACTAAATGTAGCTAGAATACAATAAATGATTTTAAAAATAGGAAGGCTAGTCAAGGGGGAAAAATATCACTATTTTTCATTCCATTATATAATAGTGTAGCAAAATCATTTCTGAAATTTAAAATACCATTATACTTATTATTCATTTTCTTTTAGGTTCCTATTATTATACCATGTATAATGGTAGTCATTGCAGCTTATCTGGTGCTAGCTCCAATTATTGAAGATCCACGTGTAGAATATTTCTATGCCTTACTTTTCCTACTTTCAGGAATGATATTTTACATTCCTTTTGTACATTTTAATATCAGGCTACGACTGATGGGTGAGTATAACAAATTTTGATAAATATATTAAATTCGTACATAAAATTTTAACGATATAATAAGTTTAGAAATAAGAAGTAAAAATGGCATGCATTAAACCAAAAAATATCGTTAGGCCTATTTTATTAAGGCACATGTAAAAAATGAGAAAGACAGTAAAACCTAAGTCTTAACTTTGCTTTCTCTTTTTTCTTTTTAATGCTAATTTTTCAGCAGTTTAGGCTTCTAAATTCAAAAATGATCTAAGATTTTCTTCACAGTTTTCAATAACATGTACTGATTTTATTTCGCAATATTGAGAATTAACCTATAAGGTATTTCTCCGGCTTTCTTTTCGTGGTGTAGTGGTCTGCACGCTGGCTGCGTATTCCAGAGGTCCGCGGTTCGATTCCGGTGAAAGCGTTGCTTATTTTTCAAGTCTCTTGCTTTCAAATAACCTAATAGCTCTACAAACCAAACAGAACTTATTTTGTGATCAGTTCTGATATATTTATCCCTTAAATACTCTAAAATTTAGTTATGTGTACCTTACTTAGAAAGTTTAGTACTCCCAATTTCTTTTGCCAATGAAATTGCTCCTGTGAATTCCCACAATGGAGCATACTGTTACATTTTAAATTATTTATGCGTAAAGAAATGACATAGTCCAGGTTGAACAGTGGAAATATATTGGTAATATTTTGGTTACATGAAAACAAGCAACCACAGCAATGCACACCAGATAAGGACAACGCGACGACAACACTACTGTTGCCAATTAACATTACGTAAATATTGTTATTGGCACGCATATCTTATTTTTTTTAACACGCCCCCTTGCCAATCACACTATGTGCAAGATATTTACATACTTCATAAAAATCAATCACGCTGTGGTTGTACACATTTACAGAAAAACAATGTAGCTGCTATTACATGCTTAAACACTATTGACCTCTACTTATGAATTGTATCATTAACTGAACACACATTAAGTTATACTAGGAAACACAATGTTTACATAGAAGTAATTAAGAATAATTAGTATCTAGGCTTCTTTCCGGAGTTTTAAGTCAAGTTTCTACGCAGTTACAACTATAATAGTTTATGTTCAGTTACAAACTTCGAAGGAGATCATTTTTACGTGCAAGTCCTGGCATAGTTCATGTCAGGTAAAAGTTTTTCGAGGTCTGCTTAGTTAAAAGATCGGCGAGATCGTCACTGGATGGCACATGATCAAATGCAATCACATTTTCTTTCTCTAGGTCTCTCAGAAAATGAAATTTAATATCGATGTGCTTACTTCTTTCAGAAGTAACGTGGTTCTTGGCTAGGAATATTGCTCCCTGGTTGTCGACTAGCACTTTTTGAAGTGAAGCAGCTAATTCACTACAGATTTCCTCCATCCAATTTTTAATCCATAGGATTTCCTTGGCAGTGTGACACATCGCCACATACTCTACTTTTGTTGACGATAAAGCTGTTGTGGGTTGCTTCTTGCTCGACCATGAGATTGGAGCACCTGCGAGTAGCATTATATAACCATTGTAAGATTTACGGTCAGTTCTGTCACCTCCCCAGTCAGCATCTGAGTAAACTTGAAGTGGCTCACCTGTCTTCTGGAATCTCAACTTTCTGTGTTGTGTTCCCTTTAGGTATTTTAGAATGTGCTTCACACCTCTCCAGTGTGTTTTTCATTAAATTGGTTCATGTAGGTGGAAGAATAAGCCATGTCTGGGCGTACCACAAGTCAGATAAAGGAGACTTCCTATAGCTTGTCTGTAAGGAATTTCCTTGCTACTTTCTTTGATTTCCTCCCACTGCTGTTCATCTACATTCTTATATTTTATGCTGGGGTCCAATGGCATGGATGCACATTTTGCTTCAGTCATTTTAAATGTTTCTAGGATCTCTGACACATAAACGATCTGCTCTAGTGTGTATGATCCGTTTTCTTCTTTGCATATTTGCATGGATAAGATCTGGCTTGCAGGACCTAGGTCCTTGACATTGAACCTTTTCTTGAACTCATTTATCTCTGGCATGTTTCCACCTATCAGGAGGTCATCAACATAAACTCCAATTATGATGTTCTTCTCAAGACAAAAAGTAAATACAAGGGTCTGCACTTGATCTTTTCAATCCATACTGGATCAGGAAGTCGTTTAAGCAAGTATTCCATGCACGTCCTGATTGTCAGAGACCCTAAATGCTTTTCTTCAAGTCGCAGACAAGGTGTTCTTTCCCTTTCTCAATGCAGCCTTCCGGCTGTGCCATATATATGTCCTCTTTTAGAATTCCATTAAAGTATGCAGCTGTCACATCCATTTGGTGAACCTCTAGCTTTTTCTCTGCAACTACGGCAAGCAGTAACCTTACACATTTAAGTTTGATGACTGGTGAAAAGGTATCTTGAAGGTCCACTCCGAGTATTTGCAGATAGCCTTCTGCCACCAATCTGGGTTTGAACTTTGTTCGGTTTCCAATTTCGTCTTTTTTCTTACAAAACAACCATCTGGATGGTATTACCTTGGCCCCTGGTGGTTTAGTAGTTAGTTCCCATGTTTGAACTTGAGTGAGGTTCTGAATTTCTTCCTCCATGGCATGTCAGCTTTGGTGAACCACATGTCAGCTTTGGGTGATTTCAGGGCATCTTTTAGAGTTACTGGATCCTTTTCTTCAGATTGTTGTATCTCTTGGGCATCGTACAGATAAAATTCTTCGAAACGTTTAGGAATTCTGGTGTTTCTTTTTTCACCTTTCTCACTCCCATGGATAGGATTTCTGGCTGCTGCTTCAACTTCAAGGTCTAGGTTGTTAACAACGTCTTGTAACTGTGTAACTGATTGGCCTTCATCTTCGTAATCTGGAGTATTTTCAGGCTGTAGGTCTGGACATCTATCAGAATTTTGGTCAATCGTATCTGTATTTAGACGTTGGGTTTCATCCAAGTCATTTACATCAGGAGTTATGTGATCTAGAGATGAGTCACGAGCTTCTGTCTCAGGTAGGTCCAAGGGATATTCTGATTCAGTCTTCAATTTTAAGAGTAGCTTCTTTTGCAGGATTGTCACACTTGCTTAGTTTTAAGGGGAAAACATTTTCTTCAAAAATGACATCTCTGCTGACAAAAAACTGTTTCTTCTTCAAGTCATACAATTTGTAGCCCTTAACTCCTCTAGGATAGCCTACATAAACACATTCTGTAGCTTTAGGATCAAGCTTCCTTCCTCTTGAATGTGAGCGACTCCAGGCTATGCATCCGAAAACTTTGAGGTGGTCTGTTTCACTTCCAGATCCTGACCATCTTTCCTCTGGAATATTGCCATAGATGGGCGCTTGTTGTGAAGATAGGTCGCAGTGGCCATTGCTTCTTGCTTCAGCCCAAAACCTGTGATCTGCTCTAGACTCTATAAATAAGCATCTTGTCGTGTTTATCAATGTTTGGTTCAGTTCAGTTTTCAGTACTGCCAGACCATTTTGTTCGGGTGTGTCAGGTACAGTTAGTTGTCTTTGAATCCCATGCGCAGCGAGGTACTTGTCAATCTTTTCACTTATATATTCCCCACCATCGTCCTTTCTCAGGAATTTGATTTTTCTGTGTTGGAGATTTTCTACCGTGCAACGGTACTCCTCAAATTTTTCGAGTACTTCACTTTTGGCTTTCATAGAGAATGCCGTGGTATAGTGAGAAAATTCATCCGTGAAAGTCACAAAGTAATTTGAGCCTCCAAAGGAAGGGAGCGAAATTTTACCAATAACATCTGAATGTATAACTTCTAGAATGTCTTGTCTTTAGCTTTTGTACTAGCGGCCTTTGGAAATTTCTTCCTTTTCATTTTTCCCTGGATACAGACTTGGCAAGGAGCATTTACTAATACTGTTGATTTCAGGTTTCTGCCGATGGGGATAATATTTTTTGTTGTACAAGAGTGTGGATGACCAAGTCTACGATGCAACAAGTCAGCACTTTCAGTTTTTGTAACGTAGGCAGTTGTCATCTTTTCTTCGATTATGTACAATCTTCCTTTTTTTTTCACCAGATAGAAGAGTGTCTCCATTCTTACCAATCACTTTGGCTTTTCCTTCAGCAAATTCTACTTTTAAGCCTCTTTCTTCAATTCTACCAATGGATAATAGATTTCCTCCTAGTTCTGGAACATATAGGACATTTTCAATAGTGACGTTTTTTTCTCCATCTTCTTCTCCAACAGAAAATGAAATATTTCCAATTCCAGTGACCTTTATTATTTCTGAATTAGCAACTTCAACTTCAGATGTGTACTTCTTAAGGTCTGAGAATTTTCTTTTATCAGAGGTCATGTGTTCTGTAGCTCCACTGTCTAAAATCCACATATTACTTTTCTTTGATTTTTCTTCGTTTGCCAAAAGTGCAATATTTGTCTTGAGGTCAACTGCAGTTTTGGCACTGTTTTGGTTCTGATATTTGGCTTCACAATTTTTAGAAATGTGCCCCCATTGGCCACAGCTGAAGCATTTAATATTTCTTCCTCTGTTAGTTTCTTCTTCATTTGGCCTTTTAGCTGCATACTTCTTCACGGGTTTTCCAAATGCAGACTTCTTCTGGTTGGTGGCAAAACTTTTAGTGTGAAGAGCTTGTTCTTCATGATACACTTTGGCTGAACTCTCATTTCTAACTATACGTTTCTTTTCTACAAAAAGCCTTGGTTTCACAATCGTAGTTGTCTGGTTTGCTTCGTCTTTTTCCAAACTTAGGATGAGCGATTCATAACTTCTAGGCAGTCCTAATAGCATCACTAGGACCACTTCTCTATCTGTAAATGCATATCTACTATTATCTTGAGCATTCTTTCTACCTCAACATTAAAGAATTTATGAGAAAAAAAGGTTATTAATCTGAATTCTCTTAAAATGCAACCGTCAAACTATTGAAAATTGCGAAGTAAAATGTTTACAATATTCTCAGACCAGCATCAATTAATGAGAGATGAAGTCAATAATGGTGCACACTCCTTGAATTGCGACGTTTTTTAATACCACAAGAGTTTTAGTGAAGATGGTAGTTAAAATTTGTTAGTTTATGGTATTCCTAACTAAGAGAAAATTTTGGCCTTTGTTTCATAAAAAGCTGTATACGGCCATTCTAGAAAATTAAGCAGTATGTATCAAAATCCATAAGTTGAAACAGATTACTTCTCAGTTTTACAAAAATATCATCTGTAATTTAATTATAAGGGCTGATCAATAGAAACTCATTTGCAGACAATATCTGTGAAAGTAGTAATTTCATTTAACTACACTTTATGTACGAGTATCCATGATGACTATATCACAGCATTTGTTGTTGAAAAAGTTACCATAGGAATTTTTTTTTAACAACAAATGCTGTGAGGTTATGTTATTTGAATGTGGCAAAGCACTATCTGCCTAAGGAGAAGGATGCTTCCCAGGAGAATTTTTTACAGAAAACTGGCTCGTTTTCACATATGTAAGGAATACCACAAAAATCACCACATGTAGCCAACTCATTCGCCTGAATTTGAGTCCATGTTGAATTATTAGTATTCAGTAGTATTACCGGTAAATTACCAATATGTTAAACAGTTGGTGACTGTTGGGGTCATAGGCATTCAGACATGTGTCCAATTTATGAATGCTATTCATGTAAATTTTTGTAATTTTAGTCTGTTCATTAAGTGATTAAGACTTCTGAATACTGGGAGTTTGACCTGGGTTTAGCCTAGGCAAACAAAGATTTACTGGATGGTTGGTTGTGATTTGTGATTTTCCCATATGTACTGTGAATACGAGACAATTTCTCTTGGAAAATCCCTCTGCAAAGGCAATCCTCCTTTTAAGCAGACAACACTTGTGTGCTTTGCCATATTCCAGTGACCTAACCAAACCAAAGATGGTGGGTGCCATCCAACTCGATATCTGAGTAGAATCTCCGACATCCTCCATTGACATGCAAACATCTTCATCCTCTGTTAAAATTCGGAAAGACCACTGTATGCACACTTTGTGACACCCCAGATATTACATAATCTTCTGTTTAATCACATAACACTTGTTGAACTGATTCGCTATGGATCAGATGCTGAAGTGCCATTCGCACAAATAGCCTCATTCACCTTTTCACAATTGTCTTCTATGTCAATGATATGAGATTGATCAAGAAGGGAATAATCATTTGTTCATTCACGTCCTTTCCTTTTCAATCTATCATTGTTTTTTTAAACACATGCGTCACCATACACTTCTTCCATCTCAAAAAACACTTCAGCTTGTTGACATCCATCAGCAATAAGGACTTGTATGACATCAAGCTGATCTTGTTTGGACTAGTTGTACAAAACTCAGTCTTTCAATCGTTATTCCTGCAAAGTCAAAAATCGTTTCCACGTGATTTTTACTGCACATGAATAAGGATATATGGATGTGCCATGATAAACCACTGTAACGACGCATTCGTTTCATCATACAATACTGCAATTATGATCAACGAAAGGTTTTCAATTGATCATGCCTAATAATTTCATCTTAATAGTTTTCTTTTTAAATACAAATGGGTTTCATGAGGAACTGATGATATTATTTTTTCTTTCCAGAAAAATTTACTCATCTTATGCAGCTTTTATTCAATTGTGCTCCAGCAGAAAATGTTCCTGGATAAATAATTTATGATGAAGTAGGACAATCATCTTTGTAGCATACATGTAAGATTGCTGTGAATGAATGAGCAACAACTTCAGATGGATATTAATTTGGCAGATTAATTTTTCTAAAATTACTTTAAAAGTGGTTTGATCATTCTTATTATTAAATTTTTAATAAGATAATTTCCAAATAGTGGAAAATAAGTAAATTATATTAATTTGTGTTAACTTTAATTCTTGCAGAATCCATCTTCGTCCTGGGCGTCTACAAAAAATATTCTAGGTAGGGAGAGCAAAGACATAATTTTAATTAAAGATTGACAAATAATTACATATTTTTATGTAATTTGGGAGGGCAAGCAGTTTATAAAACACACTATTGCGTCAATATAAAAATACTTTTTACCCGATTGTGGGGAGTGCAAATGTCCCTTTACAGATACTCATGCCTGAAGTAATGTTGAGGTAGAGAAACCTACTGTCAGTATTGCAGTTGGTTATAAATATTGCTTAAAAAAATGAGGAAATGGTTTAAGTTTTTTACACATAAGCTATAAATTTAAATAATTTTGTTTTTTTTTTTACATTAAATAAAAGATGATAGTACTTAATGTTATTAAAAATAAACTGAAAGTCGCACAATTCTAGATCTGCAGATATCACTCAATTAAGAAATAGTAGTTGCTATAGAGAAAGACTACTTTATTTAATTCAGCCAAATCTACCTTGCTTTCATATCAGCTCACGTTGGCAAATTTTAATTACACATTGATTTATTTTAAGTATCTCAATTGAGGGCAGTGGGTGGAAGACATCATCTAAAGTAATGTCTAGATAATATAAGATGGAAATCAAATGCACCAAGAGGGTGGCTGGTTTGATAGCATTAAATATTCTCAAACTTTTCTTGTGGATTAAGTGTGACATTTTCTGTATTATAATAATCACTCAAGAGGAATTCGTATTAACAAAAAATATTATCTAAGAGGACATTCAGTATTACATAAGAAACACAATATTCTGGGCTTATTTACTTTAAGTGATCGATTGCTTAAGTTTATATGTGATATTCTCTCCTGTAATAAACATATTAAAGGATTTTCTACCACTATGTACATTACATGACAGTATCTTGAAAATAAAGTACTCTGTATTTACATTGAAACTTTGGCAGTCTATCAGATAAATTAGTGCAAAAGAATGCAGTTTTAAATGAAGTGACTAGTTGGGAAACTTGAATATATGATAGAAAATACTAAGAAATACAATTTATTGTAGTTTGATAATTTATTAGTATCTGAGATATAAAATTTTAATATTATAGAAACGAAAAAGTGTTATGCAGCTAAATCATATTTTCTCTTATCAATTTTGACTGCATTAAGTTGTTTATAAAACCACTGATACATTAAAGCACTTGAGCCATTTTGTGCTTATAATTATTGCTGTGATTAAAAAAGTTAATATGAATTTTTATAATGAATTAAGAAGAACTCTGACTTTTTTGCAAAAAATATTTCTTGTAATATTTTAGTACTTGTTACTATGAACATGTGACCAGTGATGTATATTTTTATTTTATTATGTGAGAATAAAAAAGCTTTTTATAATGAAAAACATTGCATCTGATTAAAATTTTTTGTTGTTACTGAATAATTAGAAATAGAATTAATATAGGTATTTATATACTCATAATATATCTTTACTAATAAAATTTTAAATTTCATTCTTAATAATTTTATTTTCATTTGAAATGTTGAGTTTTGCCAGATTGGCAATAAAATGAATCTGTTCCAACTTATCTTTCAGTCAAAATAATCGAATCAAAAATGCTAAAAAAAAAAAAAAAAAAAAAAAAAGGCCTACAGATCAAACAAATAAATTAAGACAATTTAACTACATTTTAATACAAAGAATTGCTAAAGATAAGAGAAGTCTTGATGCAAACAGTATGCTAAGAGTTTGGCAGAATGAATGAGTAATCATTAAGGATTATTTATTAATTCTGCCAAACACATATAATGGATTTTTTACAAACTATTTACCTGCAGTTTCTAAGCCATTAAAAATGACCAGTTTAATAACCGAAAGTTAAATCTTTTTTTTTTTTTTTTTTTTTATCATTAAACATTTTTTGGTATCTTCCTGTTTCTCAATAATGAAATCTAACACTTATTTGAAGATATACTATGTCAGGCTATTCTTATAATACCTCATTCTACCTAGATATGTTAATTATGCAATTTTACGAATAAAATACATGTTTTTTACATATATCAATGCAATCTACTGTGAATCAGTTTTAAAATCTAATCAACATAAAATACATTATTCATATTCGTTTAAGATTTAAAAATAGCAATTACTTCATTTTAAAAATTAAATAGTAAATTAAAGAATTCATTCTCCCCTCAGCCTAAAATATGAGAAAACTGAGCTAACTTAAGTGAAATAAATGTAAAGAAACCTTTAAAATGTAATTATTTCGAATATAATTTTAAGTTACTTTCGATCTTCAGTCTGTGAACTGCTTTAAATTATATACCAGATCATGAACTCAACTAATTCTTATTTTATACGTGGTTCTCAACCTTTTTGCATCATGCACCCCTTACATCTTTGCTAGATGATAATTCCCAGTGCCTCCTTTCCAAAATTTGAAAAAAAACATATACATTTAATTAAACTTAGATTATTTTTAAAAGTGTTATAAATTAAACAAGAGAAAGTATAGAAAATGTTCATAAATATCAAAATTTGAATAAAATTTTTGTATTCGTAAACTAAATAACAGGTAAATAAAAGGCTAATTGCATTCCTTCCCCTGAAACTATGAAATTAGCCTCCAAGGGAAATTTTTTCCTGGTTGAGAACTCCTGTACTATATACATTTTAACATAAAAATTCCTCTGTATAATGTCTATGAAACCAGATTTCTTTCATGTTTAAAAACTGATATATATTTCCGAAAATAACTTTTATAAAATTAGGGTCATGCAAATAATGTTTTCATTATTATCAAATTATGCTGCAGTTACAAACACAACTAAAACAAAACCGAGTTCCAAATGCTTTATTTTGTGACTTATATCACAGATATATAAAAGGCCTGAAATTTACAAAACAATTATTGCTTCAGTTTTACATTCAAATACTAACTCTTGTTTCAGAATTTCTGCATTAAAAGTATTTTTAATATGCTTTTCACTAAACAAAAATTTAGAAAACTGAATTTAAAAAGTTACCTTTTTTTAATATACACATGTAAAACCAATAGTTATTAAAAATAAAAATACTCAACATAATTTTTAATTATGTATGATCTTTTTATTAAAGGCAGCAAAATAAGTGATGCTAGAAATTTTTATCTTAACAATAAATAAATTGCTGAAAATGCCATATCTTTGGGATATTTTTAGCACCACAATACCAATTTGATATTTTTAATTTCTGAATATAGTTTCTGATAATTGTTTTTCAATATGCATCAACATAAAGCTGCATAATTTTATAAGTTTTTTTGTTCAAAAAGCTAAGCTTTGAGTATCAAGAAAAGCATACTTCCCATACTCAAAATTTTGCCCGTCTGAAACTGAATTTGTTTCAGAACTAATTTTTAAATATAGTTAATTTCAAATAAAGTACAAACACAATTTTCAAACAATTTTTAGATTATTCAGTATTTCCATATATTTTAATCAACAACTGCGATTTTTGCTGAAATTTGATTTTCTTTATGAACTAACAGTAACCTTCAGTGGCATAAGAATTTATAAATTACATCATTAAATAATTGTAAAACTGTAGTAAAATACTTCAAAATAGTCCCTTCAAATTTCCGGAAATTATGAATTTCACCTTGTATAAGGGAAAAAAATTCAAATTCGATTTTAAAAACATGAAATGCACACAAGTATAATATCATTTTCTGAACCTGTTAACTACAATCTGTTAAGAGCTAAGATTTTAAAATAAATTTTATTTAATTCTCAAATCTTATACAGGGTGATTCTAAAATATCCACAAATATATAAAGGTGACCAAAATAAGCAGATTGCAGTGTAATGGTGCATTGAGGTGGTATAAGGATGCTTTTGAGACTCATAGGTGAAAGCTGAAGAAATTTTAAGGAAGTTCTTTGGTGAAAGCAGCACTAGCCTAAATTATCAATCCTAGTACAAGTTTTAAGTAGCATACATTATTACAACAAAAGAATGTCACCGATAGAGATTTTACCTATGAGACTGTGTGGAGGGAAACAGAGTAGCTGCTCTGTATATTTAATACATATTAAATAAAAAAATAGACTGTAAATATTTGAATGTGTCAATCGGGAATTAAGTGCGAATTTTGTAAAAAGCTTATTATTTAAATTTTTGCTTCTTTTAACTTTACTTGTTGTTCATAACCTCCTTTGCATGCTAGTACTTATGTGTGCAATTTCCACACATATTCTACTACAAAATATGCTTATTTCAGTCTCTACCTATCAACTTTTGGTAGATAGTCACAATGTATTGTAGCAACTGAATAAGATTGTTAAAAGATTATCACTCATGATGCTTGCCAAAAAATGGAATCCATTTTGTATCCTGATTCTTAATCCAAATATGATGTAATATTAATCTAAAAGTTTTATTTTAGACATAATTTTTAAAGTACATAATGAAGTTATTTCCTTAATTTTTCATCAAATTTTGGAGTTGCACATGCAGTATTAAAATTAATTAATAATAAATACGTAGTTTTCATCCAAAACCTTAATCATTGTTAAAAGTGTCAATGACTTCAGAATTACTACATAAAAAGAGTTTAACAACACTGGTTATTTTACTTTTCAAATGAAGCCTTATATAACACATTCTTAAATTCACTGTTCAGCATTTTATAGATCAGCTGTAAATCAGAATTTTCATATCCCATATTAATTTTTTTTAAACTTATTCCTTCACATTAGGTACCATTGCAAATTTACTCACATGACTTTAATTCCTATTGTTGGTGATTTTATTAGCAATGCTGACTAGCCTAATTTTAATTCTCAGTTTGTAACTTGAACGTACATAGCTTTATCAGATTTATAAAACCAGTATAAATGGAAATGCAATTTTTGATTGTAAGCATATTAATCTTTAAAATGTGAAATACCATATCAGTTCTGACAATAGATTTTCTGTTTAGGCTGGCTTGGTCACTAATGACTGACAATAGCTTAATTTAAATATTATTATTAAATATACTTCACATGAATCACTTTCCCACATCTTGCGCAGGTGTTTTTGTTAGTATTATGGATACAAAAGAATTCTTTTTATCCTAAAAACAGATTACTTAATCAACTTTTTAACTTGCTTTTTGACAAAATATATTATACATAATCACATCCATCAAGTCAACATAATACTGTGTGGCCTAAGTGGAAAGATCAGTAAAAATTTGATCAGTAAAAAATATCTGCCACTTAACATGTTAAGCATGCAAACTTTATTTAACACTTTTTCTTAAAAAGTTATTGACAGTATTTCTCTATCAATTTCAAAAATTTAAAACATTGTTAACTTCAGTTTTTAATGCTAAATATAATATTTTACAAGACTACTTGATAAATATTTAGATAAATATGGATGAAATACCTCCTAATTATATTAGAGTATATAGTAAAAAGCAAAATAAACTCATTTTAATATTTTTTAATAAATATTTAAAATTCTTACAAGCTTTCATATCACTTTTTGAGAAAAGAATTTTAAAATGTCTTACCTAAACTAATTTTGATTGCCTTAACCCTAAAAACTAGCTTCTTATATATAACTCTAAAATTCTGAATTAAAAAAAAGATTTCATATTTAAATAACTAACCTACCTACTCTCCAAATTTTAGGAACCTAAATGTGAAAAACAGGAATAATACTTCCATTTTCATGTTGCCAAAGTTTGATCCTCTGAATACACTTTTTACAAAGAATTCAATTATCTAGTTATTACTTGATTTTAATTAAATTTTCAAGTCATTTCTTAACAGATTTTTCAGTTCAATTCTTAAATACTTGCTAGCCACTTTTTTAATTGTGAACATTTATGTAGAAAAATTATTTAAATTAGCAATTTGTCAAATTTTAGGTAATCATTTATTCTATTTAGTATTTGAAAAGAAATTATTTTAAATTTGTTTCAATGAAAAAAAAATACATTGTTATTAATTATAAACAGACCTTTTTAAAATTTTACATTTCTTGATACAGAAAAAATTTCAAACAAGGTAAAGATTTTTAAAAAAGTAACTTGGTAATTGTTTAACAACATTCCAGAAGTCATATTTATTACATGCAGAACAAATGAATTCTTCAATCAAGAGTACACATGAACTAGATGGGACTTTCCCAACGAAAATATAAAGACCTTCCTTCGAAAAAAGAAAACTAAATAGAATTTTCTTCTCTGTAATAACTGCACTTTTTACCTAATTGGATGGTAATCAAACAGAAAATATAAAAAAGCAAAATTTCAACAGACAACAGCATATAAACAGTTAAAGTCTCCATTCTTGGTAGGAGTGCCAAAGAAATATAGCACTTTTTAGAAATATGGTTTACATAGTGATCAAATAAAATTTTACA